CACATTGAAAAAAATATGTATGAAGGATTCAGGATGCACAAATTTCATCTTTTTATATCGTTTTCATTTTTGTAATCGAATCGAAAGTAAAATGAAAGATTTGGCAACTCATTTTGATTTCTGGCTAGAAAATAAAAAATTACAAAACCTAAGTTAAGCCCAGTTGTCTATAAGATTGGGTTTTCCAGATGAGCTCAATAGATCAAAATCTAGTGTTTGAACCCAACACTCAAACCTTTTTTTTTTTTTTTTTTTAACTTTGTCCGTTGAATAGTTCAAACTCTCCCACCAACAGAATCTGCCATTCTAGCATATTACTAGCAGCAAAATTTTATCTACTTCTGATCTTCCTTTCTTCGAACACCGGACATTTAAAACAGGCTACGTTGAGATTAGAAGATTTGTGAGAAAATACTCCATCTCATAGCTGAACTTTTTTACGATTTACGAGTAGACAACAGACTTGTTTATAAAGAATTATTTATATTAATTTTACTTTATTGTGTAGTTAAAGATAAATTATTTATATCAAAATTAAAATAAATCACAAAGAATTATCTCTTTATAACAGTCTTAGAAAATGAAATCATAGTTAAAAGACAAGATACAATCCCTTGTAATCAATCCTTTGTCTACTAAACTTTTACCTTTAAATTAATGAGTGAATGCATTATGTAGGCTATGGATTTTGTAGAAGAATAAAATCCCGAGGAGTATAGGCATCCACTTTTCAATGAGTGGGAACAAGACGACCAAGGGAACCAGTGTCAATCTAAAGCTCTCTCTTCTACATGTAATAATAAAAAAAAAGCAGCAAAAGGAAGTTTTGGAACAAAGAACCAGACAATAGAAGATGAAGAAAAAAGAAACTTCACTGAATTGATGCCCTTTTATCTACCCATCTCTTTCACAGTCCCAACTAAGAACTCTGCACAGAAGCATACTTGATTCTTCTTGATTCAAATGCAGCCGCTTCTCAAGCTGTGAAATTTCGATCAAAGATGATGAATTTGTATTGAAACTGATCATCGAATTGGGCTAATTACTTTTCGTGTAACATATTTATGATTTTGAGATATAATGGGAACATGGTATCGCAAGTTAGTTTATATCTACAAGATTTATGTCCGATTAAAATGGGACCATCTAGGCATTTACGATAAATCTAAAAATTTAAGAGAAATTACATGCCAGTAAGTGAGATTCTGTCATAAGATATGTGATCTCACAATAGGCTTCATGCCATGATCATGTGCAGGTGTGCATTGACCATATGACATTCCACAAGATCTCCCTTTTGTCAATTGTGGTTATTCAAGAACATTTGCTTTCTTACCATTTTTATAACTTAACAATATGAAAATTCTTGAATAAATCCAAACATCACATGATACATACCCATCTAGAACAGAGGTGAGCTGGGGATTGAGTCAGTTCCCCTGTTTTGTATAGATTCTGAAAAATACAGATCAAGAAAATGATTAGCCAGCACAAGTCAAAAAGTTGGTACTTACATATACATACATCCACCGCATTTGTACATAACATTATGTTAGGTGAAAATTTCAGAATTTGAGATATGAAATGAAAACTAAAAAAACAAAAACAAAGGACTAACATTCTCCAAAGCTGCTATCCCCCAAACAAACAATAATAAAAAGCAAAAAGATCAACTTAAATTAATCCAGATAAAAGAACATGTTGATAATCTGTCCAGAAATATATAAAAAAAAGTGTGATAATGTATTAAAGCAGCTTATTTTGAAATTGAATTTCAAGCTCTATATCAAGAAAAAGCTTTAAAAATTTCATAAAACTTACAAACTGTAGTAACTTTATTTTGTGGTTCATCTTCATCTAACTTAACTCCTTTTTTATATATGGACACTGGTTGGCACACACTCTAGTTCATTACACATTTACACTGCACAGCAAACTCTTCAAAAAATCATTATTTCTTGGTTTGAAAAAGACAAACAAACTTAAAGATGCAGTTATGCACACAAAATGTAAGAACTAGTTAAATCGATTATATTTATATTATATTTTTAATAGCTGAAGTGGATGGATGTTAAAAAGTATGCTGAACTGAGTATATACCAATCATTTTCCTTCATATATAGAACTAATTATACTCATAATAGAAATTTTTGTTTCAGGTTCCGAAAAGGATACTAATATTAGCAGAATAGAAACTTATAAATATCAGTGCAGCTAAAATCCTCAGGCAATTTCCCTTCTTTTCTCCTATCATGGAAAGCACAAACTTACTCTGAAGTCTGAAGCCTAACTCTAGTCTAGTAACTGAATAGTAACCAAACTTCATACATATAACAAAAATCCTTCCTTCAAACAAAGGAATGCTGAATGAACACAAGAGTTGTAAAACCATTTCATTACCAAAATCTGCGGAAACACGTCGTGATGATAACAATGAAGAAAGTACCTAAATCTATCCATACTAGAAGCCAAAAATCTCCCATATACCGGAATGAAAAATCCACAAAAAACCAACTAATTAATATGAAGATAGAAATCACCCCTAACAATTATCCAATTCAACTTCATCACTCAAATAAACCCTAAACCCTAATTTCCTTCCCCGCTCCAAAACCCATACTCAGTCACAGATACACATATTGCTCCCATTCCCAATATGTTTAAATCCAAAATCCCAGAACCCATTATAAAACAAGAAATCAAGCAGAAGGAAAGCCCAGAAGCTATACAGAAACACGTATTCCATAGGCATGAACACAGTACAAATTACACAACATACCACTACTATCGAAAACATGAAATACCATACCAAGAAACGGCGCGAAAGGTCTTCCCTTTGTTGCAGAGACGGAACTAAAACCCTAGAGAGAACTGTCGCCGGAGATTCAAAGAAGCTCTCGATGAGATTCCGGCGTAATGCACTGGAAAGGGGGACAGAAAGTTGGGATTTTTTAAGGGAGGAGGGAGTTACGTCGATCTGAAGTGGAAACGGGAGCTTCGAAGGCACAAGACGAGAGAGAGATGGGACGGAGTTTTTGGACTTGAATGTTAGGCTTTAAAAAGAGTAAGGAGCTTTATGAATCGTTTGTTATCTATAGTGGGCATGTTAAAAAACCCACTAAAAAGCTGCCCAAGGCCCAAAACGGTTGATCTTTGGGCCGTGTAGGCATAAACTTTTAATTTCCTAGGCCGTAGAGATTACGAAATTTTCTTAAACCGTTAAATCAGTTGGAGGGCCCACACTAGATAAGGAAATAGGAATCATTTCGTGAAGAACGAATGAAAGAAATACATGTTGTGTTCACGTTGTAAATCTGATCATTTGCTGCACTCTTATCTTCTTCAAACCGAACTAAAAACACAATTCATTGACTCAGTCTCCTCCAAATGAAGCTCAATCATTTTAGTCATCCTCATCCTTTGGTGCTGGTGGAAGAGCAGGAGATGGATTGGATTAGTATAATTTATAACTGCTCGGCATGTCAGGAGCGGGTAGAGGGCTCCAGCTACAACTGCTCAGAGTGTGACTTTTGTCTTCATAAGTCTTGTGCTGAGCTACCAAGGGAAATCAATCATCCCTCTCACCTCTACCATCCCCTCATTCTTTATGAGAAGCGACCGATGGACTGCAGTTATAGTGTCTGGTTTTGCAATTCCTGTAGAAAAGTAAACGAATCAGGTGAAGAATTATTTGTTTATCATTGTTCTTCTTGTGACTTTGACCTAGACATTAGATGTGCTTTGCTTATAAACTTAATTAGTGGAGATATCCCAAAGCTGAAACATTTTAGCCATCAACATTCACTCTTCTTCCTTAAGAAACACTACATTGAACCCCAAGATCAATCTTGCTCTGCATGTGAAGAGCCAATATCAGGTCCTGTTTATTGTTGTTTTGATTGTAGCTTTTTCCTTCATCAGAAATGCTTTGAGTTACCCCTAGAGATCAACCACCCTAGTCACCGCAAACACTCTGTTACTCTTCTACCCAACCCTCCACCTCATCTAGAGAAATGTTCTTGCCATTTATGCACCAAAGCTTTCAAGGGATTCATTTATTATTGTTCTCTTTGTGAGTTTGGCATTAAGATCAAGTATACTTTCTCTGATAAAGTGATCAAAAGTGAGAATCACGAGCATCCATTTATCCTTGTATCAAGACCATTCTCTTTCTTTTGTGATGCTTGTGGTACTGATGGGGAGTACTGCATCCCTTTTGTATGCACTGAATGTGACATTGCAGTTCATAAGGATTGCATTTCACTCCCACAGAAGATCAAAATAACAAGACATGAGCATCCACTTTCCCACATTTATTTCCTTGAAGAATATGAGGGAAAAAACAAGGTGTGTAAAATTTGTTGGGATGAAATTAATATGGAGTATGGGAGTTACCGTTGTCTACAGTGTGATTACTTTGTTCATGTGAATTGTGCAACAGAAAAGATGTGGTGGGAAAAGGAGTACGATGAGAGTCAGAAGTCCAATGAAGCCTTGGAAATGCTATCGGATGAATGGGCTTCTATTTCTTGTGTTTTAAAGAAGGAGCATCGTGGAGAGGAGGTAATTGCCACTGAGATTCAACACTTTAGCCATCAGCACAACCTAATACTTAGTGGTGAGACTAAGGATGATTTATGTTGTGACGGTTGTATACGAGCTATCTCTACTGAATTTTACTATTGTACTGAATGTGACTATTCCCTCCACAAGTCCTGTGTTGAGTTATTAAGAAAGAAAAGACATTGGGGTTTGAAAACCATCCTAACTCTCCATTATTATCCCTATTTTTTTTGTGAGTGGTGTAGCTTTGTCTGCAGTGGGTTCAGCTACATCAGGGATGAACATGCTGGCTTCATGTGCATCAGATGCTTTGAAGTACCTGACCACTTCCCTCATCCAGGACACAGGCACCCTCTTTTCCTTGACAACAAGTATAAAGGGAAATGAAGTAGCTGTGAAACTAGAAATGGTCCTTTTAGATGCAAGGATTGTGACTTTGCCTTGTGTTTTGGATGTGTTGTGTTGCCGCTTACAACCCGGTACAAGTTTGATGAACATCCTCTTGCACTCACTTATTATGATGATCATGTTATGGATCAATGTTTTTGTGAGATATGTGAGGAACCAAGAAACCCAAATCATTGGTTTTATCACTGTAAAATTTGCGAGTATTCTGTGCATCGCTCTTGTGTTCTGGGGAGATCCCCATATGTCAAGCTCGGATTGACTTTCACATATGATTTGCATCCACACCCACTCACCTTTGTGAAGGAAGATTTTGACTACTTTGAATGCAACAGGTGCCGCAAGCATTGTAAAAATGTGTTTCTCAAATGTTCAGAATCATATTGTAAGTTCACTCGCCACTTGCATTGTGCTCAGCCCCCAGCATGGCAAAGGTTTGGCAAAGCGTTACTTGTTTCCTTGTAAATTCTCCATCACTGGGGATTTTTCTTTTTATCTGTGCTTTTAAGTTTCTATTTCTAATGTGCAATGTGCTTTTTTCTATTGTTTGGAATGGAGTTTGTAATATTCAAATAATTGGATGCTTGTTTTTTTCCTTTGCATTATTTTCATTTTTTTTATAATATATATTTATTTACGCTTGCATATACCCTGCATTCAATAAAGATTAGATAGTTTTCTAGTTGAAATCTCCAGTACCTCATAGTCATTTTACAAAAATTTGATTTCACATTGTAAAAGAATATATATATGAAGGGTTCGAGATGCACAAATTTCTTCTTTTCATATCATTTTCATTTTGTAATCGAATCGAAAGAAAAATGGAAGATTTGCCAACTCATTTTGATATCTGGCTAGAAAATCAAAAATTACAAAATCTAATGCTAGCTTGAGTCCAGTTGTTTGTAAAATTAGGCTTTCAAAATTAGCCCAATTGATCAAAATCTAGTGCTTGAGCCCAATCCTCAAACATTTTTTTTTTTTTTTTAACTTTATCTGTCAAATAGTTAAAACTCTCCTACCAACAGAATCTGCCATTCTAGCATATTACTAGTAGCTAAATTTTATCTACTTCTGATCTTCCTTTCTTTGAACACCGGACCCTTAAAACAGGCTACGTCGAGATTAGAAGATTTGTGAGAAAATACTCAATTTCATGGTCGTACCTTCTTACAACTTACGAGTGAACACCGGCCTCATTTATAAAGAATTATTTATATTAAATTTATTTTATTATTTAGTTAAAGACGAATTATTTATATTAAAATTAAAATAAATCAAAAAGAATTATCTCTTTGTAACAGCCTTAAAAATTAAAATCATAATTAAAGGACAAGATATAATTCCTTGCAATCAATCATTTGTCAATTAAATCTTTACCTTTAAATTAATGAGTGAATGAATGCAACATGTAGGCTATGAATTTTGTAGAAGAATAAAATCCCGAGGAATATAGGCATCCACTTTTCAATGAACGGAAATAACGTGACCAATGGAACCAGTACCAATCTAAAAGCTCTCTCTTCTACATGTTAAAAAAGAACAAAAAAAAGCAGCAAAGGAAGTTTTGGAATAAAGAAACAGGCAATAGAAGATGAAGAAAAAAGAACCTTCACTGAATTGATACCTTTTATCTACCCATCTCTTTCACAGTCCTAACTAAGATCTCTGCACAGAAGCATTGCTTGACTCAAATGCAACCACTTCTAAATCTTTGGAATTTCAATCAAATATGATAAATTTGAATAGAAACTAATCATCGATTGTGACAAATACCTTCCATGTAATGTATTTAAGATTTTGAATAGATAAAGATTTTAAGATATAATGGCAACACGGTATCTCAAGTTAGCTTTTATATACAAGATTTATGTCCGATTAAAAAAAGTCATTTCTCTTATAACATTTATTAATCTTTGAAACTCTTTTTGTTTAATAGTTTACATTCATTATAGGCAATAACTTTTTGTATTAATACTAAAGGCACCTTTCTAGTATTTCTATGTGGCACTACATAAGTAAAATGTAAACATATTTCATCTTGATAAACTATACAATTCTTATAAAAAAAAGAAAAAAAAAAGAGGTCATCTAACCATCTATACTAGGTCTAAGAAATTTATAAAAAGTTACATAGGAGTAAGTAGAGACTATATGGTAAGGTATGTGATCTCACAATAGGCTTCATGTCATGATCATGTGCAAGTGTGTATTGATCATATGACATTCGTCAAGATCTCCCTTTTGTCAATTGTGGTTATTCAAGAACGTTTGCTTTCTTCCCACTTTTATAGGGTTAAAGCCAACTGTTGTCCCTCTACTTTGTGAAAAAGTTCAGTTTAACCCTTCTACCATGGAATCACCTTAGACGTCCCGCTACTCCATTTTGAGCTCACATGTCCTTCCTCTACCATTCAAAAAGTGATCAATTTTGTCCCTCCATCCATTGCATGGCTAGCACTGTCACTTTTAACTATTAAAGCCTAATGGTTTGGCATTTAAC